TGATAGCTCTGCTACCCGCTGCCACCTCCTGCCTGGCTGACAGCTTGGCCCTCTTCTCATAGTCACCTCAGCTGGTGAATGAGGTGGGGACGGCCTTGTGCATGCGTTCATATTTTATACTTGGGGGGTCATTTATAAAACGTTTGCCCGGCGTATAGCTGGGTGGATGCCATCTGCACGTTGCTAGCGCCTCTAGATGGCACTGCCGAGTACCGATTTCCTATACTTGTCAGGACATCCACCCAGCGTATACTTCTATAAATAAACCCCACAGTGTATATAGTGTACATCAGGGGTGGGCAATCTCGGCCCTCCAGCTGTATTGGAACTACAAGCCCCAGGAGGCATTGTCCAAAATAAATTGCCACGCTAGAGTGTTCGGGTTTTGCTTGAAGAAAAGGTGGCAACCCTAGTTCCTGGGCAGGGAAATACCACTGAGGTTTATGGGTGTGACCCCCATGGAACGGAGTGCCTGAGGCCTAACTGACATGGCTGCCTGTCCTTTACAGAAATGATTTCATTGACCTCTGTTTCATAGATTTCCATTACCAGCTCCTGTGACTCCTGCCACCATCTCCTGCCACCATCACCATCTCCTGCCACCATCACCATCTCCTGCCACCTCTACTGGCCTGCCACCATCTCCTGCCACCTCTACGGACCTGCCACCATTACCATCTCCTGCCACCTCTACTGACCTGCCACCATCACCATCTCCTGCCACTGTAGCGGGAAACAGTTTTGGGAAACCAGCAATGGACTCCGGACACAGACTTCAGGAAAACAAATCTTTTTATTCTGCGCAGAAGACTCAGCGGACTATCGTCTGAAATCCTGAGTGGCCCTTTAAGGGCGGTCAAAACATATATATATATATAATGACAATTGCGTCACATTACACATTTCCAATACACATATATTTCCTATACGTCTTAATCCTTATACAGCTCTAAGCCAATCAGCAAGCAGCATTTGCAATTCTCCTAGATATGTGGTGTGCACCTGTCACAAACTGTTGTTACAGCCCGAGAGAGGGAAGGGAGGGGGCACATGCTGCTGCTGTTATCATTTGTGGTAAACAATGACACTCTGTGACAGGAAGGGAGGGGGTCCTAGACGCTGCTGGTATGCTCTGTGGTAAAAGAGCAGAAAGGAGGGGGTAGATTTTCCTTAATTTCATGTCTGATAAAATGTTGTCACTTTGACAGGAAGTGAGGGGAAATCTCCCTATCGGAGCCCCGGATAGCAGTAAAAACCTGACAGAGGTTCTACTCCTCCCCCTGCTCCATCCAAAACTGAGAATTATAGATACGCCTTAAAGGTGCAGGCTCCAGGACTGTCATCCCGATCCTGACTCTACATGGTGTGTCACTGACCCGGAACAAGCATGCAGCCAATGAAGTCTGAATAATCTGAGCTCCTGCATGCTTGTTTCTGGTCAGTGACACACGAGGTAGTGAAGTGAAGTTGAGGATGAAGATGACAGCCCCGGGCCTGCAGAGCCTTATAAATCAATAATGTAATTTCCTGTCCACTGCTTCCTCCTATTGGCTGAGTATTCCACCAATCAGATTCTCCGCCCTGTGATGTCACCAGTCTCCGGGCAGATTTCTCACCTCTGATTCCCCCCAGATATCTTTATACAACCATCATCCCCGACCCATAACCCGGCATGGAGGGGCTCAGTGAAGGTGGTGGTGAAGGTGTGGAGGAGTCGGATCGGGTCACACAGATCATAAAAGGAGATCCGCCCGGCCTCATAATCCAGATCTATCCTGACTCTGTTACTGGAGACTTTGCCGGGTAATCGGATCTTCTTCCTGTCATGTCTCGCTGAGTACTGATTACACCTCCCCCACCTCACCAAACTCCAGGACTTCTTATTATCTCCAATCCCTGACCGACCTCCTCTCCTCTCTATACTGGGGTAACACATCCCGACTCTCCACCACCCTGACCACCCGACATCCACTTCCCAGTAATGTCGCCCTGAGGAGAAACTCTGACTGCTCAACACCTGAGAATCCTGAAATCTCTCTGGAGTTTCTGGACGATTCCGATATGGTGACCAGGATGCAGATTTCCTGTCATGTGATATATGTAGATTATTAGCAGCTGTGCTCACATCCAGTAATATGTCTGTAAACCCCGACACCCCCGATGTTTGCTGTACAGACCCAATATTATGTCCTCCAGCCTGGAGGTATGAGTGTTGTAGGGTGGGGGTGGGTTGGGGGTGTGGCCTGGATAGTTCAGCAGTGATGTGAACTTTGACCTTTCCTGTTTGAGGATCTGCATCCATCCGGCTTATCTGCTACATCAGTCGCCATCCGCTGCCTCCCAGGTGGGTCTACACTGATATGCCAACCAGGTCTGGTGAGTCTGGATAAGCTTAGAATCCCCCATATCCTCTCTCCCCAGTGAAGATGTTCAATAAAACGTTATTCTGCATGATACTATTGGAGAGGACATCAGTCTGTGGGCACCAGAAGAAGGGCGGTGAATGCTAATGGGTGGGCAACTGAAGAACATCCCCTAGACAGACTAGAGATGAACACACTGGACTTTGGTTCTCAATTGGATTGGGGCATGCTTAGTGCCTGCTTCCCTTAGTCTGGTGGCTAGCAGTTTACCCGGTTTATCCCCCTGTATGTAAAATGTATGTTTCACCCACCTTAGCTGGGCCTCCGCCTTATCAGTCAAACACAAATCCAGTTCTGTTTTAACGGACGACAGCCGGGATCTATTTTCCACGGAGGGTACCTCCTGGAAAGCCCCGGGAGGCCCTTTCCAGTGTCAGCTCCAGTTGGTGTATCCGTTCTTCCCGCCTCCGTTTTAATTTTGGCCGCCAAAGCCAGCAGTTTACCCCTTGATGGTGGCCTTGTGGGCTTCCCAGACCACTCCAGAGGATGTTACCGAAGATGTGTTCATGTGGAAGAATTCAGCCAGCGTCAGTAAACACTTCGGGATCAGTGAGTAGCGAGTCCCGAAGGGACCATGTAAATCCATGAGTCCTAGGTAGGGAAAGGTTACACGTTAAGGACACCAGGTCAAGATATAGGCTGAATTGAAGCAGATTGGGCAAAGGGTAACGTCGGCGCGCGTAAAAAAAAAAATGTGGTCAATGCGCGAAAAGGTATTATGAGGGTTCGAATAAAAGGGATAGCGGGGGTCACCTGGATCATGGCGATCGGCATGAGGGTGTGGCAGCAAATTCTAATCTCCACACGGGATCAGGGTCCCCTGCAACCTGAAGTCAATCGGTTTTAGGAGCTGAGTTAGAAACCCCCAGCTGTCCAGTGTTGGGAGCATAATACGAAACAAGTGTGATGGGGGGGCATCGTGGATCAAACTCATAAGTATCAGGTATCTCCCCTCCGGGTCTTTGATGGAGTCTTTGCGTACAAATGGGAGCGACCTCCTGAAGGCTATAAGAACCCCTCTAGTTTTTGTGTCAGCGGAAACTTCATAGGATGGGGAAGATCCTTGTTTAAAATGAGTCTCCTGTAAGCAGATCACATCTGCATGCAGGGATTTGAACTGGCGAAAGGCTTTAACCCGTTTGTTCGGCTGGTTAAGCCCTTGAACATTTAAAGGAGACTATTTTAATAGACATGACTGTGATTGATCGGGCGGTAGATTATGAATGGAGTGCCAAAGGAGGAGGATGTGGAAGGAAAGGAAGGGGGTAGCAAAAAGATGGAGGGTAAGGAGTAGGCGAAGAGAGGAGAAGAGGAAGATGAGGGAGGGTACAGCAAGGAGTCTCCTTCACAAGGAAGTCCACTGTATACCAGCGGACTGAGTTAGTCACCCGTCAGAACTTTGCGCTATGGAAAAGGCTGAGTGGTGAGAAATGGGCTACATGTCGTAACCGGGCCGGGCCCCAGGATCAGTTTCATAATGAGAAATAACAATCTGCCTATAAAAGAAAAATAAGGCAAAATAACCAAAATTGAACCATAACATAAAAAAATTGCTAGTTGTGTACACTGCGAGCCCAACAATGAAGGGTAATCACCGGGGCTTGAAAAGTGGCAGAGCCCAACAATGAAGGGTAATCACCGGGGCTTGAAAAGTGGCAGAGCACTTACATTTTTTTTTTATGCTTCTTTAATTTTTGTATTTTTTTTTTTACACAACTTTATTGCTATCACATAGGGGGCTAAGAAGCCCCCTATGTGATATCCAATTTACATGACAGGTCCTCTTTATGGAGACATCAGGAGTCTCCAAGATCCCTAATGTCACCGAGGGAACCCCAAAGAAGCTGATGAAGCAGAGATCTGCTTCATCAGCTTCTGTAGCTGGAGAGTGACATTGAATGCAGGAAGTGATGTCATATACATCACTTCCTGCATTCAGGGACTGAGAGGAGATCAAAGGGAGATCGTGTACCGATCTCCTGTCACAGAGCAGCCATGCCGGTCCCGGCCACATCGGTCACAGCGGATCTCGGCACCGGCAGTGACTGCGTCTCCTATACATGGGATCGAGCGTCTCTAGAGATCACTTGAATGTAAAGCTCCCGGCCGGCCGTGTAATTACAACGGCCGGCCGGGAAGCTACTCGTCGGGCTCCGCCGTCCTCTCTTCACAGACGAGCAGACGAGTGGATTTTTCAAGCCCTGGTAATCACACTGGACACTACCTACAGGGGAAATGAGCATCAAAGGTCCTGTCGGCCTAAACCTAATTAGGTTATGAGGGAGTAGGTAACGTAAGGGGGGAACCAACATAGGAAGACTACAGAGCGGGGAAAACAGGGAATGGTCAGGGAAATAAAACAACCTAAAGATTCACATCATTAATGAGCTTATTAGAAGCCACATACTCACTAAATAGTCAACATGACATAGTAAGCTTAGGAACTAAATAACATATCACAACTATGAGTATCTCTAGAACATATATCACTGTATGGGTGAGATTAGTGCGGTGAGCAAAACAAAACTGCACATTATGATAAACTCTAAACAAGTTGGTGGAGTATAGAAGGCCAGTGAGGTGTCTTGGAGCTCATGGGCATAGGACATAATTTGTGGGGGAGAAGCCAATGACGTTGAAATGGCAGCAAGTGGAGTATATCACGGCCAATCAGGAAGCGGTAGAAGTAAAAACAAGCGCAGTTCAGGTACTCACTGAGAAGAAAAGTAAGCAACGTTCCGATGCAGCAGTTGAAGTAAGTTGCAGTTGACGTTCTCTACGAGGCTACGGGGGAGCCATGTCACAGTCATTCCTTGAGGGTAGCGTGGTTTGCAGTTGAAGATCTGGATAAGGCCACGGACGCAAAGGGGGGGAACGAAAAACGTGCCGACGACCATTGAATCTGGCTGAAAGACTTAAAAGGGTAGCACCAGCGGTAGGGGATGTTTGCACCTTGTAAAGCTTTGCTCAGCGGGCGAGGAGCTCTGCGTTTGGAGAGATCTGGAAATAAGGATATAGTTGCGCCATCAAAGTCCAGTGTGCCTTGGGATTGGGCCTTGGACAGAATTTCAGTTTTAAGGCTGAAGAAGTGGACTCTGCAGAGGACGTCACGAGGTTGCGGGTTATTTGGCCTGGAGTGCGATGAACCTGGTCAATGTCTATGGTGTCTGTCGCTGGTCTTCCTAAGATGTTGTCAAAGATACCTTGTGGCCGTGGCATGTAAGTCACTGTCTCCAGTAGCTTCAGGAAGACCTCCTAATCCGTATATTGTTGTGGCAGCTCCGATCCTCCAGATCCTCAAGGCGAATATAGAAAGCCTCTATGTGAGAATGTTGAGTAGTAACTACTGAGCGGAGTTCCTCTACTACAGCAGTAATAGGAGGGAGAGTGGTTTCTATATTATCTAATCTGGAATGAAAAGGCTGGAGGCCTTCAAGTATTTCTTTCATATCAGATTTATGGGCAGTCTCCGGTTTGGCAAATTGGGCTTCTATCCCTCATTTAGAAGTTTTGGGCAGCTTTGCAGAGCAGAGGGAAGTTTTAGGGTCCTCGAGATCTACATCCAGATCCTGTGATTCCCGGATAGAGGAGGCTCTTTCAGAGTCCAATGACTCACGTGGAGAAGAGGCAGGTGCAGCTTGCGGAGTGTCAGCGGCCATGTTGGATTCAGATGGCGGGTCTGCAAGGGCACTGGAAAAAGTTCTGAATCTGCTGTGTGACAGGTGAGTCAGTGGGCTGAGCCTGCGGTCGGGATCTTCGAGGAGTGTTGTGACCCATTTGAGAGAGGAGAAGCGTGTGTAGTCGGATACCCACTGAATAAACGTTCGGGCCAAGCACGGGAGATTCAGCGAGCACGTCTAGCCACGCTCATCAGCAGACCACGCCCCTCGACCTGCAGATTTCTAAATAAATCAGTCATGTGTTTTGTCCACTGCTTCCTCCTATTGGCTGAGTATTCCACCAATCAGATTCTCCGCCCTGTGATGTCACCAGTCTCCGGGCAGATCTCTCACATCTGATTGCCCCCGGATATCTTTATACCACCTCTCCATACCCATAACCCGGCATGGAGGGGCTCAGTGAAGGTGGTGGTGAAGGTGTGGAGGTGTCGGATCGGGTCACACAGATCATAAAAGGAGATCCGCCCGGCCTCATAATCCAGATCTATCCTGACTCTGTTACTGGAGACATCGCCGGATAATGGGATCTGATTATTGTTATATATCGCCGAGTACTTATTACTACTCCTCTCCAAACTCCAGGACTTCTTATTATGTCCAATCACTGTATGACGTCCTCTCCTGTCTATACTGGGGTAACACATCCCGACTTTCCACCACTCTGACCCCCTGACATCCACTTCCCAGTAATGTCGCCCTGAGGAGAAACTCCGACTGCTCAACACCTGATAATACTGAAATCTCTCCGGAGTTTCTGGACGATTCTGGTTTATATCTGACCAGGATGCAGATTTCCTGTCATGTGATATAAGAAGATTATTAGCAGCTGTGTTCACATCCAGTAATATGTCTGTAACCCCCGACACCCCCGACGTTTGCTGTACAGCCCCAATATTTGATCCTCCAGCCAGGTGGTATAAGTGTTGTATGGTGGGGGTGGGTTGGGGGCGTGGCCTGGATGGTTCAGCAGTGATGTGACCTTTGCCCTTTGTACTAGAATGTGGATAGACATGTGTGCCTGGACCTTCCTGTACATTTACCCCAGACATGATATCAGATATACCTGTGTGTAATGTGTGTGAGATCCCAGCCACATCCAGACCCCCTCCATCATGGAGGAGTCTATCATGTCTCTCTCTGTCCTCATCATCTCCATCCTCAGTATCACACAAGTCACCTGTGTCTGATTCCTGTAAGACAGTCAGTGGATCCGTCAGGTTACACAGCTCCTCAATGTGACGCATCTTCCTGGACAGCTCGTCCTTCTTTATTTCCAGCTCCCGGATCATATCCGTCACGTAGAGGGAGGTCCGCTCTGCCTGCCCGGAGATGTCACTCAGGACTCTCTTCTCCAGGTCCTCCAGACGTCTCCTGAGGTCTCTGAGCAGGGCAGTGACTCTCTCTGTTTCACCGGCTGCTTCTCCTTGTACTCTCCTCCTGTGTTCCTCCAGACTCTGGACTCTTCTCTCCATCTCCTCTCTCTCTGTCATCAGTTTCTGCAGAACATTCCTCAGTTTCTTCTTCTTCTTCTCAGAGGCCTCATCCAGAGTCTCCACCTGATGTCCTCGATGTTCTCCATCCAGCCTGCAGGACACACAGATACAGGCAGAGTCCTCAGTGCAGTAATACTCCAGGATCTTCTTATGGACGGAGCATTTCCTGTTCTCCAGGGAAGTGGTGGGGTCACATAAGACGTGTTCTGGTGACTGGCTGTGGACTCTCAGGTGGTTGTCACACAGAGAAGCTTCACACAGCAGACAGGATTTCACAGCAGGTACAGGAGCGTGATAACACTGAGTACAGAAGATCCCCGTTTTGCCCAGGTCACTCTTTGTAGTCTGCAATATTTCGCATAGAGTAAAGTTCTTCTGAAGGGCAGGACGTTTCCTGAATTTTTCTCTACACTGAGGACAGGAATATCCTCCAGACTCCTCCTGTGTATCCAGCCAATGACCAATACAGACCCGGCAGTAGTTGTGTCCACATTTCAAATTTACAGGATCGGTATAAATGTTCAGACAAAGGGAACATTCCAGCTTCTCCTTCAGATTACCAGACGCCATCGCTGGGAGCAGAAGAGGGAAGTGTGAGGATGAAACTCTGTCAGACTTATAAAACAGAAAACAATGTACAAAGTCCGGGAATCCGTATTAGTCATACAATTACATTCAGACTTCCTGCACTGTGATTGGTTGATGGGTTTGCTGCACTTTGCATATCAGCGTTGCTCTCTGAACCTTCTTATGGAATAATCCTGAGTGAAGAGAGAGAACAAAAGGTGTGTTCCATGTTCATCTACACAGAGATGGTGGAACCAGATAATCATCAGAGACCAAATCACTTTTCTCAGCATTGTCATCAAATCACGTAATATGAACTGTCTGTGTTCCTCCGGAGCCACCAATCACAGTCACACTTCCATCACCAAGATGTCACTTTCACTGGAAGGTTGGAATCTGATGGTTGGTTGTTGTACATCACAGACACTTCAACCACCTCTATAACCTTGTGTGTGATCATGGTGACCTCCATAGTTCCAATCTCTGTCACCCTGCAGTGGGAGGAGCAAACACAATAGTTATGTCCTCTGGTGTGGCAGGGAAGACCCAAATGTTCCATGGCTCCCATTGATCTAACACAAGAGACAAGTCTTCAGAATATGATCCCCCCCCCCAGGAATTTGTGGGTGTTGGACCCAAATCACTCTCCTGAGCATGTCTGGTGGGTAAAGCAAGTTCAGTGAATCTTCCACAAAATGTGAAAGGTCAGCTTGTCATCAGATCATAACCACAAACTCCACATGATGTCTCCAAGACCCAAACCTTCCATGACCCAAACCCTCCATGACCCAAACCTTCCATGACCCAAACCTTCCATGACCCAAACCTTCCATGACTCAAACCCTCCATGACCCAAACCCCCCATGACCCAAACACTCCATGTCCCAAACACTCCAAGACCCAAAC